CTGCTGTGTTTCATTTTTTAAAAAAGATTCCCTCAAAAAATTCACTGTACACATCTCATCTTTAGGGCAGTGAAGTTGCAAGTTTGAAGAGTCGGTTGCTAAACCAGAGCAGCAGGTTTGGGCTTGTTCTTCATTAGTCCCTGCAAGCACTGACACGAGAGCACTGGCAGTGGCAGCTCTTGCAGGGCTGTTGCACTTCTGTTGCACAGGTTTCCTACATACAGCCTTGCTTTGCAATGCTCACACTTAGGCACATATTTAGGAACACAGTCCTAAGTAACAAAAGACCTCTTTTTTTTTTTTCCTGAAATATATGTATTTCCTATTTTTTCTTAGGAATGCTGTGCTCTGGGGCTAGAATAATAATTATTTCACTGTAAGATTGATTTTCGGTATATGAAAAAAGTGTGCATTCACCCATAAACCTGCTAGGGATTGAGTCGTCACAGCTATATGCTGTTCTTAACTTCAGACATTCCCTTATCTAAAGCATTTCAGCAGTATTGTGGAGCTCTGCAGGCAGTGTTCAGCTTTTCCTTTTTTTTTAAGCAAACAGGTATCATGCAAAGTCTGAACTGTCATAAAAGATGTAATCACAGTTTATCTGTTAAATCCTCCTTGTAATGGGGTGGATTATGCTACGAGGACACATTACTGCACATACACAGAAAGCCACTACTAAGATGCTTCTGCTTCCAAATTCTCTTAAAGCACATTCATACAAAGTATATTGTTATATCAGTGTGAATTTAACTGGACAAAGGAATTTTAGGGAAATGTTTAATACTGAAACAGCCTTTTTAAAAGTAAGGCTTTGTTAGAACTCCTTTTCAAGATTCCCATGTTCTTAAGATCACAATTATCCAAGATCGCATCAGTGTTACTTCAGCATTTCTATTCCATTCATTGAAAATTAATAATTATTATTTGCATTTCTTTTTCTTGGCTATCTGTCAAGAGATTTTAATTTTTTCAGGTCCCCAAACACTGCTGATTTGATGAAGATCACCTATGAACTGTTCCCTCTTCTGGGTTGTTTGCAAGTTGCACTAATAAAATATATGGTGGTTCTGGCATGTGATCAATTGTGTAATTTGAAATACAAATGCCTTTAGTGGTAACCACTTTACCTATGTATAAATATTCTCATTTCCAATTAACAAATATCTGTCCATGAAGAACCACATACCAAAGAAATCACAGTCAAAAAAAAGTTTTTATGAATATGCTTTAACATTTTAAAAAAAGAACATTCATGATTAATACATGACTAATTACCTTTTTGAAGTTCATGAGAATTCTCATTAGCTGTTTGCAGTATTTCATGGACTGTGCTTAGACTACAACGTTCATCTTGTAGGTGAGAGCCTCACACATTGAAAACTGTCATCGCTCTCAGTAGCACAGTTCCCTTCATCACCTTCAGTGGAAATGAGATAATTCACACCAGACAGGGCTGCAAACATTTGCTTCCAAGTGTCAGTTGTGCGAACTTGCAGTGATACAAGAAGTTACGAAGCTCTGTTGCTTTTAGCCTACACTTCTCTAGTACCTTCCAATTCAGTCTTCTGACACTGGTCCTCAACTTGAAACTCCTCAGCACTCATCTGCTTATACTGACCTGTACATCCCTGAGAAGGTTCCTGATTTACCTGCTTATAAATTGAAGTATGCAAGAGTCAGAAGCTATTGGAACAAGGGAACACACAACTGCTCGTTTTCCCCCTCAAGCACTTATCAAGGTAAATGTGAATTTAAAATAATACTTCCTTGACTGATAGCAATTACCACATTTTAATTATAAAGTTTCTAATAACGTGCTTTATTCCCAGCAAAGAATCTTCCCAATTGCCATTTAGGAGGACACTTAATGCAGGTGACACACTGCCTTCAATATCACAGGCCTGCTCACACACCAGAACGCGCAGCAGCAGCATTTCTTAAAAAAAAAACACCCTGAAGTTAAAGTTATTAATGATCCTTTAAATTCATGAGGCCTCACTGCAGCGGATGGTACCTTGATTCCTGGCAAGTCCAGGCTTCTGGGGACAAGGACAAAACACAGCTACCCTGGGAGAGCCCCATTGAAGGCAGGAAGAAAAGACGAATAGATGGAAGTCCTGGATTCCAGTTTCGCAAATGTGCTCTGTCTTTTTAGGCCAAACCAAATTCCCTGCTGTGGAAACTTGTTTCTCACTGGTATTATCCACGGACTAAGAATATGGACAGATTGTTTTCTGATTTTCCGTTCAATCCTACTATTCAACCACATGTAAGGTTTGCCTCAATCCCTTTATTTATAGAACAGTACTATAAAATAAACACAGTATTATTTGAGGTTGCTAAATTAAAGGTTGTAAAATGTTCTGAGATACTTGCAGGAATGAAATACGAATTTGCTAATGTTTGTTACAGTAGATATATGGAACGGTTTAGTGCCAGGCTAGGGAACATCAGAAACGAGTCTAACCATTACTAATTCTGATGCTACATTAAAATTAAACTGAAGCTGTTCAGGGAAAATTATTTGCCATCATTTCATTGCAGTATTTGAGGACAGTTCCTTGCCTTTATTTTATTTTATTTTATTTTATTTTATTTTATTTTATTTTATTTTATTTTATTTTATTTTATTTTATTTTTTTACCTTTCCTTATGAAGCTATGCATGATGTCCTGGACTGATTCCAGACTGTCTGCAAACAACAGTCTGGAATTTTAATGGCAGGTATACAGTTCCCTTTCTGTTGACCTAAATTATGCTGGATGCAACATGCGAAAAAGAAAATAGTAACCATATTTACAATTTTGTAACTATTAACCTGGTGTCAACAGCTCATTTTAACCATTTCCCAAGAAGACAGACTATGGGTTTGGCAAACCCATTTCAGAAAGAGAGGCTAAAGCAATAACTAAGAACAGCAAGTTAAGCTGCAAATGAGAGGATTGCTCCTGGCAGCCAGATACATGAAGGCACCTCATGCCAGCAGCACGTGCGCCATCTCTAAAACTGTGAGTGGTGGAAGCTGTAACAGGAAAGATTTGAACTAGAGCTAAAAGCGTCACTGAAACTCAGTTACACAAGCAGCCCTGAATCCTCGGACAAATCCTGGGTGGTGCAAATAGTCCCCGTTGCATAGCTTTTAATCACTATTACCTTGAGATTAAAATGTGCATCTTACTAGTATCTTTCATGTGAACTAGTAAATTCACTAAGATTGGAAGATTTATTAAAATATTTTCGATAAACAAGAGAAAACGGAAATGGCTGCAGCTGTGCTTAACCCAGAGATTATATGTTCACAATGGAAATTTCTAGAACTATGCTGAATGGATTTTACTGTTTTTTTCTCTGTTTCTAACATAATCCCTAACACAGAAAAAAGTGTACTGCTCTTTTAAATAAAGTTTTCCTTCATTATTGGGATCTTGCTCACATATGGGCATTTTTTGCTTTTTAACTATATAATTGTTCACAAAATAATTAAATCATTTGTAATAGGAAGGAGATGGAATTAACATTGTCAGTGTAAAAGGAGCAGAATCCTGTCAACAAACATTTCCCTTGCCCCTTTTCCTTTATTTGCCACTATCTCGTTTAAACAGAACTTCAGCTGACATTCAAAAATTGTTCTGCATATGGTGAATACTGAACTGTGCTAACTGAAGTGACTCTCTGTTGTTGCTGTTTGCCTCTTAACTATTATTAAAATTTCTGATTTGAATTTACAAGCGTGCCTGTAGCGTGGTGTTCTCCCAGATGCAATGCCAGAAGACAACTCTGGTTGCCTCCCAGAAGATGAAGGCTAGGGCTCGGGCTCGCTGCTGGGACAAAGGACGATGGTCGTTCCACAGTCAACATCGAGGACTAGCGTACAAATCTTTCCACATGCAAGGTGCTCCAGGCAGGAAGTTGGTGCAAAACACAGCATAGAACGGGCAACAGGCAGGTAAGAATCACACCTAGCATTTCATCAAATTCGTATTTCCAGCTCAGCAAGATACCGAGCTACTGAGAGCAGTATTACCTTTCTGCTTTGTGTTTATTTCTGAGGTATTACCAAGATTCTCCTTTGCTGTATGGCCAAATCATCTAACTGACAATACCAAAACGACATTCTGGAATGTATTTAAGTAAAGAGTAACATTGCCCTTTTCAACAAGGAAATATAAAATATAATTAGAGCAGAGAAAAAACACATTCAAATTAGATGGATTTTTCAGTGTCTCCAATCATTCCCACATAGATGTTTTCTTTAGGGCATTTTTGCTCTTGCAACTTATCAGGTAATTGTCACATCTGTCTTTGACTACCATGTTCTGCACCGTGTAAGATACTACTTTTATTGTCAAGATTTGCATTACAATATTTACTGTAATCCACTTGAGGATAATGCTGTGTCTTCACCCCCTTGTTTGACAAATTAATAAATGTAGCTGTTGTGTGAAGAAAGGGAAAGATTTGGAGTCTTTTGCACGTACTGAAGTAACAGGACAACACCAGAGAAAGAAAAATGGAGCTTTAAAAGAAGGAATTGGACAAGAACAGGCTTAGATTTTGGCACAACTGTACTGTGCAAAGCAGATGGTGGTATAGTTCAGACCTATGAAACTGAATGCATAAATAAAAATTGTTGCTTCAGATTATGTATAAATAAACTGTACATATGTATATAAAATTGGTTAAAATGCATTGTTTCTTTTATGAGATGCACAGCTAAAGATCAGAAATGAAAGCTTTTACCAACAAATCTGGGTTAGTGCTCATCCTCTTATTTCTTAAATTTTTTTGATATTAATAGAAAAAATCTTTGTCAAAGCACTTAGTATATCAACGATTCTCAACTTATGGCAGAAATAATGTTCTAGCTTTCTATAAAACAACCACTGAACACCATAAGGAGATATTGTAGCAGAAATAAAATGTCAGGTACAAAATGGTTCCTCCTGCTCAGTCTACTAAGAGCAGGAGCACAGTGTGAGATTATCACCCAAACTGACCTGCGGTGTCATTCCGTGGCAGATGTACATGATTGGAATATTCTCTGTATCTGGCCCCTGATCAAGGCACAAGTCGCTTTTCAGGGAATTCTGCAGCTGAAAAGAAACACAAAGAAGAAATCAAATACATCTTAGGCTAAAAATACGGTGTAATTGCTTACATTTCTTTGCAATAAAATCATGTGTATTTGAGCAAGGCAATTAACAAACCTAACAATACTTGTTGGAGAAAAAGTTTTGCAGGGATAGGGTTCTGGAAAGTCCTGACTGCTCAACTTGACCTGGGAGCCTACCCTAGGCCCAGGAGAGAGAAACTCGGTCCTCAAACTTTTGGTTCTCAAGCCATCAACCACTAGTCCCAACTCAACCTTCTAGCATACTTTCTTCCTAACAAAGCAATCTGCAAGTTCTAGATTCCCCAGTTCTGTTTTTAACATTAAAGGTAAACAGGAGACAAATTTACACACTTTGATTAGCCTTTAAAAACTCAAACTGGGCCTCAAAGAATCTAAGAGATAAACAAGCTCCTGGACCATTAGATTGCAGAGCCATACACCTAACACCAAAAAAGACCTCTTACTTACACTCTAGAGAACAATACTTACATTAAATATCAGGCATTGACCCTGACTGATGATAGTCATCTTTCTAAATAAGTCAGCCCTACAAGTAAAAAGGCTGTGGAACTTTTCATTTCCTCACACCTAATCCTAGCTCAGAAAGAATGAGGTGATAAATCTATGTGCTTAAAGTAGGCATAAATCATTCTCCTCTCTGGCCACAAACAGTATGCAGTTGGCTTTTGAAACTACCCCAAGTACACTACTTCCTGTAGCTCTGAAATTGGATATGATATCCAATAGATAGGTAAGTGAAACAGTTTAGAATAATCTAAATAAGCATGCATCCCCCAAAAGCAATGGTTTTAAATGAGCAAATGCAAGCTATGGGGTAATAAACAGAAACAGGAAAGAGAATGATGTACACAATCCCGCAGCAGGAACTGCAGCTGCGCAGCAGCTTCTGTCAACTACTCAGTCAAACAACGGAACAAGGGACCTTGAGTTTATGGTATTATTTTACTTGGAGCCAGGCATTGTTATTACACATTTGCCCCCACAGTTTAAAAAAAAAAATGTAAGCAAGAACCTTACCACCCCGTAGGCAACCGTATCGGAATACATTCTCATTTCTGGATACACACTGACAAGGTACCACCTGAAGGTCTTGCACTGGAGCTTCTTCCTCAACGCCCTCCTCTCAGAAATGTCCCCAATATCAATCCCAGAGTCCTGCACATGGAACAACGCAGGAAAACACAACAACGTGTCAGCTATTTCTGTGTAAACCTATCACCCAGAGACTCTACTGTTCTGGCCACTACTAATAGATAATCATCTGTAACTCCCAGCCTTTGGTTGTGAAGTGATTCTATTACCAATATACTTTCTCTAAGTGCTCTATTTAACTATGATTTATACCAATGTGTTATGCAGGTCAACACTGTGGGGTCTCATTCAAAGTCTGCTTTGGTTAATGGAAACACCGCTGTTGACTTCATTAGAGTTTAGATCTAGTTTCCAATGAATATAACTGTTGTTCTCTAATTTCCTGGCATTTTCCAAATGCAAAAGTAATTGGCAGTAGGTAGCAAGTTGCCCTGGAAACAACCTTATTGTTGGCATCCCACTGTGGCCTAATCATTAGTGCATTGCACTTGCTGGCTGTTTTGGGAGTCTGGGTTCGCTGCTTCACTGCAAAGAGCAGTTGCTCTACTCAACCTTCCTGAAATATCATTTATTAAATTTCTGGGCTAGCATAAAAGAGAAGTTGGTATTTTTGTTACAAGCATTTACAGAATCTTACCTCCCCTAATCTTATTCTCTTTTACAGTTCTAGCTAACCTAATTTCATGTGACACACTTCTTTGCAGATCATAAAATGTGAGTTTCATAAAGTTCCTGTATATATAAATCAGTAATTTATCACATTAAAATTCTTCAGCAGAAGTTTTTAAAAGGGCATCTAAGTGCAAATCTGTGGCCTGCTGTTTAATGGAGTAAATGTGACCATTTGCTTTACATTGTACTCAAACGCTTCTACCTCAGAACAAAACCAACGATAAATACACTTTCATTGGGAAATCTTGCCATCTACCTACTTACAGCGCAGACTTTACTGAGTCATAAATGCCCCAAAGGTTCTCTCAGCCAGCAGATACATGATTGTAAAATAACACCGAAGCACTCGATTCTCCTGGCTCTGTGAGGATAGCTTTAGAGGTGTCTAGTTCTCAGAGCTGCTGAAGCCATGACCGCTTGTTGCATCCCAAAGCCTTTATTTGGCACTGATCTGAAACAAGCATATCTTAGTATGGAGGCATTTCCTGACTAGTACTCAAGTTGGGCATGCAACACTGGAATGGGCTCATCTCTAAGTGCTGGTTCCCATCTGACAGGGGAGCCCTCAGCACGTCCTGCCGCAACGACCACGTAACCGTCAGGCTCAGGCTCCATAGGCCTGAAGAAGTTGTGTGAAAACTAAGCCATTTCCCAGGGTGTTTTAAACAAGTACCTTTGTTTTCAACAATGGCCATAAACAAAAATGAAGGCACTTATCCTCTTTACCTACATCTTGTAACAGATTTTTCCCTAAAACAAAGACATTTCATTGGCTACCACTATTAAAAGCTGATTTAACCCTTTTCATCATCTCCAGTTTTTGAAGTCTGTACTAGTGTTCAACAGCAATAGCCTTTGTGGAGATGAAGAGAAATCATCTGCATTACAATTTATTCATGCAGGTCAGTGCAATTACTAGTGAATTTGAGGTAAGAAAAAAAAAAGACTCTGCATTGAAAAGAGAAAAATAATCTTTTTTTTTTTTTCTCCTTTTCAAACCTGCAAATAAAAATCAGTTTTTGCAGCACAAGATCTACCATGCAAATATCTTGATGGGCATGGTGACCTGAAGAAACCTCATCTATATTTCCTTTGTTTGATAAATCAGTTTTAAAATTTACTATAATCTTACATTTTTCAGATATATCAGCATATTCAAGGCAGTTTTACTTAACCAGTAGCAAACAATAAAAAATTAGCAGACCACAAAGGAAATTTTTCTCAGCACTTTCATAGTATATTATGCAGCTAATATATATTTTTTTTCAACCTGAAAATGGAGTGACAACTTCCCCATTCTGCCACAATTGTTTAGCTTTAACCATAGGGGATGGAAGAAATTCCTGAAAGCAGCTAGGTAACTTCAACATTCATACACTCCGAGCTGGCTTTGGTTTCTTATTATCTTTCTCCTTACTGAACAACAGAGAAGCAACTTTTTTTTTTTTTTTTTTTTGCTTTTAGAACCATAAATTGCAGCAAAAACAGTGATTTTAGATTTTTTAAAAGAAAAATAAATCACCCATTTGTTCAGACTAGCATAACTGCTTTTGATATAATGATAAGGATGAGAACTTCACACTGCAAATTAGAACTCAAATTCATCTACTGCCATGGTTTCCAATCTCTTATTGTAGGCAGATCTTGGAATATTTTCCAGAAAGAGCTACAAGACATAGTCAGATTTCTCAGAGCTATTATCAGCAGTTTATAGATTAAATGCTACTGACTACAGAAATGAAGAGCAACTAGAATCAGCTGCCAAATCGAACTCTTGGGTTTCTTATCCTGCAGTATCTTTCCAGTGTAAGGAACCAGACACGGCTCACCTATGGAAAAAAGAACTGGAGAAACACGTCAAAAGGGACCTGCAGCCAGACTCCCGCAAAATGTTATGGCATATACCAGCCACTCTTATTCTGGTATGAAGTTATTCAATAATGATACAATCACATTTGTATCAAAAGATACACACATCCCTTAGCCCTTGGTAGAACTGCATTTTAGTCAAGTCTGACTTAGTAAGAAATTTAAATTCTAAATAAAATGTGTAATATGGATATGCTGTTTCTCTTTTTTACATTCCTGCCACTACTAGTTTAAAATCTCCTTGCAGTATAATCAGTGAGGTTGTCAGGAAATGAATTTAGTAAGAAAATCCATTTTGATGAAAAATACATTTTTTAAGGAAATTGAAAATAAATGAACTATTTCTAGAGTAACATGTAATTAAATATATATATACACACACACACATATATATGTATGTATAGACATACTTACGTACATACATGCACAAACGAATAAATCATTGCAGAAAATCAAACTGCAGAATAGCAGCCAAAGCCCAATTGTTCAAAGGCAAAGCCTGCAAGCGCCGGTATTTGTGACTCACCTCCTGGGGCACGTTCCATGCCATGTAGACATGGCTCTTAAATTCATCCATCCAGACTTCAGCCACCCGCAGCGCGTTTCTCCGGACGTGAGCAGTTAGGTCTTCTGTGTATGGCTTATGGGCTCGTTCAATGTGGGCAATCCTGGAGCACGGCAGAACCTCAACGCTTCCTCCACACTGCCACACCTACAAAGAAGGAGACACCCTGCTAGTCAAAGCTCCCCACACCACTGTTGTCTGACAGTAAATACATGGAAATCTTTTTATTTATCCAGGTTAAGAATGAGAATAATAACTCAAGGTTTATTTACCTATAGAGATTTTTTATACAGTTTTGAAAGAATTATTATCTTGCCTTACACTTACCTTACCACAGATTTACTACCTTAACAGTAGCGTATGAACAAGACTTTCCTCAATCCGTTTAGCCATCAGAAGATATTATGAATAAAATAATGTATAAGGCACTCAACACAACAGCATGTGGATTCAAGTTTTAACAGCTTGCAGACAGTGCAGAATCCAGAACTAGTCTCTGATGACAGGGAAATTAAGCTAATGGACAGTATAAGGTCATCAAACTTTCAGGCTTTAGGAAGAACAGGAAAATAAACGCATCTTATGCTTTGCTTTAAACATAGCTCAGAAAGAAACCAGATTTATTTCTTTTGAGGAGTGCTAAATAATATGATTTTCTAGTGAACAATTTCTCCAAACAATTTCAACATACACTACCACTATAAGTGATAATATGTATATAATGTAGGTGACTGTACCCTCTCAAGTGTGGTTTTGTTCTAGCATCACAGCTGACCTAGTGCCTACAATGTTCATCCTGAGTATTATACTTCTGATTTCTCTTTCTGCTTCCAGCTAAAGAGAAACCACTTCAGCAGGCTCAACAATCAGTGAAGTAGCTCAGTTCCTTTACATGGAAGCTCTGTTCTCTGTGCATCTTGTATTATGCAAACTTCAAAACAACATCAAGACAGTACAATCATAATAGTTTAGTGAATGCTGCTTAGGTAAAACCCAGATGTGTTCAAGCTGTTTGATCCTGTAGAACAAATACCTCCATATCTCAGAAAGCCTCGCTGTGCTGAGAAGCAAGGGCTTTGCCGTATGCTCCTGCTAATGGAGGTTCCTGATAGCTGGTATCCTAGAGCAAGAGAGCACGGGAGGAGAGTGAGGGTGCTGCTCCCTGCTTTGCTAGGCCCTGCCCTGATCTCCCTCCCGCATGGCAGACTGTCACACCTGGAGCGGCACTCAGGCCCTCCAGGTCAGACGACCCTATAGGCACACGCTCTGCTATGGAGGCACTTTGCTCAGTCATTCATTTTATATATTTAGACATCTGGCTTGAATACAGCGTTTAGGCATTTGGCAGCTCCTGAGAGCAGAAGGATATGGCATGGATTCAGGATGTTTACAAAGCTGCTTTTGAACTGCTGCCTAATTGCAAGCAGCATATGCTGGGTGATGAGAGCAAGCCCGGGTGTGCAGAGCTCTCTGCAAGATGAGCTATCCCAGGAACCCACCGTAAAATCAAGATGGATCTGGAGAGACTTCAGCATGTCTCTGTTTCAGAAATTTTGAATCTTGCAAGAGTAAATAATCATAACCACTATGAGAAAAAATCTTAGAAGATGATCACAAGTATTGGGAATGAAAATACTGATGATGATCACAAATACTGGGCAATAGAACTGGCGTAAGAATGAATAATTAGCTGAAAGTAGCATCTGTGTTCTTTCTAAATCTCAGATAATGCGGTCAATCCAGGTTAAAGAGCTAACAAAAAATATTAGTTTCTCGAAGATTTAATTCAGCTACATTTCTTAACGAAGATTAAACATGAACTATCACCAGCCTGGGCTTGCACAATGCCTGCCTGCAATCCAAGCCTTTTCTCAGTACAGCATCGACATCTAGCTAAAAATTGTTTCACAGTTATTCACTGCACACTGCTAACTCATAACATGAAAAACAAGAACGATATAGTGATGGACATAAAACAGTCCACAAGATCACCATGCACAAACAGTATGCTCTGCTACTCTGTCCTCCCACCGCTCATTTTCACTAGGGATGGCCCTGATCCAAGTCTGACATGTGAGCACCAAATCTTCTAAAGGGATTTCAGTGAGATCTGAATCCTGTCTCCACAACAAGCTGAGCCAAAAGATTCACTGTCTATGATGAGCTGAATTGCCAAGTACATTTACAGGATCTGAATTTGAGAGTGAACTCATCTGTAATTTTAGTACTTATTCAGTAATCAGTAAAATCTAATTTGACTTTTTAATGAAGTTGTATGTATTTTCCAAAAAAACATCCCAAGATGACAAAATCTTCAGTAGTTTGGAAACAATAATTATCAGTACCCAAGTAATTTCCAACTAATCAAATCTGTGGCCAGTCCTTTTCTCTCAGACAATGTCAATCTGTGTTTGGTTTCTAAAAACTAATTAACTACTCTTCAAGAAGCATGGATTCACTTAAAAATTAACGCTAAGATGGATCTGTCAACACAGATGCTGGCGGAACAGGCTGCTTATACTGAACAGCCTCTAAAACAAATCCTGTTATTTGTAAGACAAACTCTCCAGCAACCCATGAAAACATGACTAGGATACTCCAAAATGGGTCTAGAGGTATATGCTAATAGCTTCCATATTGCAAGAAGAATATAAGTCATTAATGATTGTCTTCAGGAGAAAGAAATGAGAAACAAACGTGATATGAAGATAAGGAAATCAGCTCAAGTTTAACCATGCACTGAGCTTGCAGTGACAGCATTGAACAAGTGGCGCGAGCCTGGCTGCAGCTGCGAAGCCCCGTGGAGCCCTCGTGGCGCGAGGGGAGAGGCTCTCGCGAGTCAGGGCAGAGGGTGCAGTCCTGACCCGCTCTGCTGGTCACCCGGGAGGCTTTGCGCACCGCATTGCAGCAGGGCAAGAAAGCTTCTTTGTCCAAACCCTTCACTGCGCTCCTGGGGAAGCCAGTTGTCAAGATAAAAAATGGTAGGCAGGCATCATGGCAGGATTTTCAAAGTTTCAAAAATATTTTGTTTTTTCCACAGAGAATGGTTCTAAGTATAAAACTGTATCTCTGAATAAACTGCTGCAATGAGAAATAATGATCAATCTGCTTATATAAATCAAAAGAAGAAAAAGAAAGGATGCATTTCCTAAATTGCATTTTAAACAAAATATACCATCTTTTCCTTTCAGCCATGAAAATTTTTATACCTATGGTGTAAGAACTGGAAATTGTTAATGATAGCATCACTTTCCTGCCAAATACCTAAACATATGTTTACACTTGTCAAAATAATACAGGATTTGAAAACCACAATACAAGAAATAATGGAAATTCATATTTTATTCTCTAAAGGCACAAATGGCAAAGCTATACCAATGGGGGCTTTGTTGGTTTGTTTTCTGCCTGAAGGCAGAATCCTCACAAAGTTTTCAAGGGTGAGGGAGCGCATACCTTGGGAATATTGAAAGTCCCTGGAGGCACCCCAGCAATGCAGGTGTTTCCTGCTTGCTTTTCTTCAGAGGAATTTCTTTCGGGTTTGGTTCCTGCTGGTTTACTTAGCAAAAACAATCTTTTAGCGAACACAAACTGGAGTCGCCTTTCAAAGAGCTGTCAGAATCTACTTCAGGGCTCTCAATGCTCTCCTCCAAACAGTACCTTACAACAAGCTGTTTACTCTTCTCCAGGGAGCTCATACATTTGGTAGAGCCCTCCCAAGGACTTAGAAAGCTTCTGTCTCTCGACAGAGTTCCTGCATCCCTATCAAAACAGGAGTAGAGCTCCAGAAGAATTTTTAGAGGTGTAAAGTAGCAGGAATAGCAGCAAGGCAATTTCTACCGCCTGTGAAGTTGAAAGACCGAAACCAGCGGAGTGCGTGACCTATACTAGAGAAAGCAAGTGGAAGATGACAGGAACATTAAACGGATACAGAGTCCATTGAAAAAAGCATAGGAAAGAGTCTCTCTCTCTTTTAAATTTTAACTTGTTACAAGTTACATGGAGAATGTGGGAAAGCTCTAGGCACTGCTTACCACTAATTTACTGAACATATATTTTACACATAAGCCACAACTGTGTCCCTATGTCTGTGAATTTACGTGCAGCAAGGCTAAAGCAGCCACAGACAGTAACTTCCTGAAATCAGAAAACATGTTCCTTGCCACCTGTCACTGGAACCCATCAGACTGAGAGGAGACAGATAGCAGAGATTCCTTAGTACGGGCTTTACAAAATAAGAATAAATTACTAAACTCACGAAGGAGGAATGAGATAGACAGACAGACAGCATGAGACTTCCCTGGACAGCTTCCATGAGAGGGATTTGGTATAAGATCACAGTATGAACCATCAAGCACAATCCACCCCAGGGACCAAGCCTAAGCCATGATGACCACGCAAATGTATGTAACTAGGGTAGAGCCTGAATACAGAGGCAAAATCAACACAGACACAGTCAGAGAAATGGAAGACCAGAAGCGAGCAAAGAGTACAGGTGGTGGCAGAGCACACCAGCTGCAACCTCCCTGCTGCTAAGGGGCAGAGGACCCAGGCACTGGGCAGGCCATGGAAGCAGTGATTCCTCCAGCACGCGCCCAGGCCCACACCCCACCACCGCTCTGCTACCCCTTGCTCTCTGGGCCAGGGCAGTAGCGACGGCACCCGCACAAGCTTCAAGCTGAGCAGAGAGGGTGACTGACAGCTCCTTGTATTCATCTAAATTAATCGGGAGGTCATTTTTTAAAAGGAAATTCCATTCACATCTGAAAAATCTATTTCATTAGTAAAAGATCTCCATTTCTACTTATTTTTATAACCCTGCCCTTGACTAAATCTTTTTCAATTGCACTCAAACGTATTTGAATTTGCAGGTTTAATCAAAACAATTACAATTCTGAAGCTGATCTTTCTAATATATAATTTATACTTCATTATAAAATGATATAACACTTTTTCATTAGAAGGGTTTATTTTATATCTCTTTAATCACTGGGTATTCTTTTCATGTTATGGTTTCTTAATCTAATAAAAAAATAAGTCCTACATGATGTTGAGCAGTTCATTAGCATAGACTGCATCTGTTAAATTTACACATCATGCATTTTTTTCAGAGAACTACTATGACCTTGTTTGAAACTATCATTGCACTT